CCGCCACCGTACCCGGGCCCAAACGCCCCCGGCCTAGTAACGGAGTAAGTGAAGGGAGAGACCTGTTCAAAGAGCACCTTGTTCTGTTCCGGGAGGGTTTCAGCTCCTTCTTCTCCTCCTCTGAGTTATCTGCCACTGACGTGTTCTCCTCGTCCTCCTTCTCTTCCCTCTTTATTTCGCTGGTTCCCGAGGAGACGCTGCTTCGCCCCAGCCCCCCTGACAAGCCTGCTGAGGAAGCAGAACCACATGAAGGTTGGAGGGGCCTGACCTGTGCAGTAGGCTGGGGGGTGGTCCCCAGGCCCTGCTCCTGCTGCAGGAGTGCAGCATCTCGGACTCATCCCGTGCTGCTGGTCCGCAGCAAGAGGAGCTGCAGAGGTGCCAGCTCTGCCCTGCCATCGCTCCCCGTTCTTGTCCCCCCACCTCCCAGAGCCCTCCGGAGTCAGAGCCCAAGCTCCCCCCAGCAGAGCAAGGCCCAGGGGCTCTGTGCCCCCCAGCTGGCAGGAAGGACAGGAACGTGCAGGTCAAACTCCTGGAAAAGGCTCAAGTTAGAAACTGCCCTGCGGATGCTGCAAGGAAGCAGCAGGTGGTGATCCAGAAGAACCTGGAGGGCTGGTGGAAAATCAGGTTCTGTCCCTACCTCCTGCTCTTCCCTCCCACTGCAGCTGGGGCTGCGCAAAGCAGAGACCCAACATTCATGGGATGTACAGTCCAAAGGCAAGCCTAGGGCATCAGGAAGGGCAGAGTACCAGCACTCACTTCTCTCCATCCTTACAAACTAAGGCTAGTCAATGTTCAGGCCTTCAGCCAAGCAAAGCTGTGGTTGAACATCTTTAAAATCCCCCAACTGCCTGTGCTGGGAGGTGGACTGCATCACGGCATCCCACGCCCCGGCAGTGCAAAGGGAACTGGCGTGCGAGCATCGGTGTGACATCCCGTGCTGCAAAGAGCACCCGGCTGCTCCCCAGCTGCTGCTGTGCGGGGTGAACCTGGCGGGTGACCCGAATCGCGCCCGCGGCAGGCGAGTCTCAAGCGTGCGTGTGTGCGGAGCCGCCTTACCGCTGTACGTGTCCTGCTGCCTGTTGAGGTCAGGGAGTGAGCTGGGCTGTGACGGAAGCGTGACGTGGTTGTGCAGCATGCTGGGGTTGCTGGACAGCCCATCTTCGGGGTGACCTCCTCCCACCTGCAGCAGAACAAGCAGAGCAAGCCTTCAGGGGGTGAAGAGAGGGGCCAACGGGCACGGTCACCCCGAGCACGGCAGTGGGGCTCTGCAGACCAGGCTGGGGGGCAGCCGTGTGCCCTCCTCGCATGCTCGCACCCCCCACAGCATGGGCGTACAGGAGGGAAGAGCCAACCTGCTCCAACTCCCCAGGTGGGCTCAGGGCACTGCAGACAGCAGCCCCATGCCCCGCACATCAGCTGGGCCAAGCACAAAGCCCCACGGGTGCTGCCTCCCCCCGCACCGTGGAAAAGCCTCTCTGCCTGGATGCGAGGCTGGCACACTGGAGAGGGCACCCTGCCTGGGCTGCTTGTGTCCTGTCTCCATCTAGCACCAATGTTTCTGTCACCTCCCGAATGCCACTGGAGCAGGGGACATCCCAGCAGCATGAACTTTGCACCCAAGGGCCTGGGCAAAGGGCAAGGGTCAGGAAGCCTTTCCGAGCCCGCACCCCCCGAGGTGGCACATGCCGGCCGGGGACAGAGCCAGCCCTGCTGCAAACACCCTCGTTTCTGCAGCTGGCAGCAGTTTGCAGCAGAGGACACACATAGGATCCATCGCTCAGCAGCAGAGTCTGGGGAGCTCGGAAGGGAAGCGCGGCTGGTTCTCTAGAGAGAATGGAGACGTGTTGTAGGCAACCAGCTCTGCCAAAAATGTGCTCCTGAGCTCACCAGCCTCTGCACAAAGTGGGGGCTCTGGTGACCCAGCATTCACGTGCTCTGGGCACCCGGGACCTGTGGCACTCCCTGGAGCCTGAACAAGCCACCACACATCAGCACCATCACACACCAGTGCTCCCCTTGTGCACAGAAGGATGTGGTGCCTGTCCGAAGGGTCCAGAGCAGAGAAGTCCTGGCGATCCCTGGCTCTCTTTACCTGCGGTCCTGCCCTGCACTGGATCCCTCTCCATACCCCGGGGACAGCTTGAAGCTGTTGTGAGGGATTTCCACCCGTGTGGCACGGAAGGAAGAAGAGCTTTCACCACCTCTGCCTGCCCTGAGAAGGTGCACGAGCAAACTGCATGCGGGGCTTCTGCCCGAGAGCTGCCATGGTGCTGAGCGTGGATTCAGCACCGCCCTGCACACCCACGGCAAGCCACTGCCCTCCTGCACACGTCACCCGTTCAGCTGCCAACAGCTGACCCAAACTGGACCACACCGAGCCATTCCCACACCAAATCAGTGTCCCTCTGGATGCCAGAGGCCCCCACGATGTGTGTCCTCGGCACGTCCCCACCAGCTGCCTCGATGCTTCCCCACTTACCAGGCTCGGGTGCCTGTTCCCCAGGGACATGACCGAGGCGGGGAAGGCCTGGCCCAGGCTGCCCACGGTGGCACTGTGGGCTGGCGCCGAGCCCAGGAGCCCGTGCATGTCCCCGTGGTTGCTCGGCATGGCGGCTGTCTGGCCCACGGCGTGATTCCTCAGCACGTGGATGGCTTCGTCCAACCTGTCTTCCATTTTGTTTTGCTTGAAGGAGAGGACAGAGAAATAGGTCTGTGTTAACCCCTGTAAAGCCAGGAGCCCGCTGCGGCTCTCTCCGCTAAAGAACGGCTGCAGCCATCCTACACTCAGCTACCGCAAGGCACGGGGAGAAATAGCACCGACACAAAGAGCCCCCCGACCCAGCCAGTGCCATCCCCTGAAGGCCCAAGGGGTCACACAGGCAGAAAGGCTCAGGAAAGGGGGGCAGAAACCAGCCAGGAATCCGTCGGGCTGGACCAGACCCATGGGGATGTGCAGGGGCCGTGGGGAGGAGGAGGAGGGTGCGAGGCTGCGCCCCTGTCAGCTCCGCTCAGCTGCTTCCAGCTCAGAGTCCATCTCTCAACTAAGCCCCTTCCTCCCGACCCCAGACACTCTGGGGAGCAGCATTTACCCCAAAGTCCTTTACGGCACAAGGGATGGAAGTGAAAAGGAGGAGGCAGGTCTTTCGACGACACTTACCAAAGTGTGGAGGCTCCCTTCATAGCTGGGAGATAAGGCACCCTGTCCGCTGGCTC